CTTCCCTTACCCTTCAACCTCCTTCCCTTACCCTTCAACCTCCTTCCCTTACCCTTCAACCTCCTTCCCTTTATCCTTCAGCCTCCTTCCCTTTATCCTTCAGCCTCCTTCCCTTACCCTTCAGCCTCCTTCCCTTTACCCTTCAGCCTCCTTCCCTTTACCCTTCAGTCTCCTTCCCTTTACCCTTCAGTCTCCTTCCCTTTACCATTCAGCCTCCTTCCCTTTACCCTTCAGCCTCCTTCCCTTTACCCTTCAGCCTCCTTCCCTTTACCCTTCAGTCTCCTTCCCTTTACCATTCAGCCTCCTTCCCTTTATCCTTCAGCCTCCTTCCCTTACCCTTCAGCCTCCTTCCCTTTACCCTTCAGCCTCCTTCCCTTTACCCTTCAGTCTCCTTCCCTTTACCCTTCAGTCTCCTTCCCTTTACCATTCAGCCTCCTTCCCTTTACCCTTCAGCCTCCTTCCCTTTACCCTTCAGCCTCCTTCCCTTACCCTTCAGCCTCCTTCCCTTTACCCTTCAGCCTCCTTCCCTTTACCCTTCAGCCTCCTTCCCTTTACCCTTCAGCCTCCTTCCCTTTACCCTTCAGCCTCCTTCCCTTACCCTTCAGCCTCCTTCCCTTTACCCTTCAGCCTCCTTCCCTTCCCCTTCAGCCTCCTTCCCTTACCCTTCAGCCTCCTTCCCTTACCCTTCAGCCTCCTTCCCTTCCCCTTCAGCCTCCTTCCCTTACCCATCAGCCTCCTTCCCTTCCACTTCAGCCTCCTTCCCTTACCCTTCAGCCTCCTTCCCTTTACCTTTCAGCCTCCTTCCCTTACCCTTCAGCCTCCTTCCCTTCCCCTTCTGCCTCCTTCCCTTACCCATCAGCCTCCTTCCCTTCCACTTCAGCCTCCTTCCCTTACCCTTCAGCCTCCTTCCCTTTACCTTTCAGCCTCCTTCCCTTACCCTTCAGCCTCCTTCCCTTCCCCTTCTGCCTCCTTCCCTTACCCATCAGCCTCCTTCCCTTCCCCTTCAGCCTCCTGTCGGAAAATCCGACACCATTTAATATATCATACAGATAATAGCTGTATTACCAACAAGTTACCCATAGAAAACGTAACTTGTAGTGGAATTACCGTCTAAAGAAAACGGGATATCATCACCACATACTATTATAATTCACCAGCTATTCTGCTGGGAATTGTTCTTAAATACATTAGTCTTTGGACTTTACCATCATAAAAACATCTTATATAAATTAACTTAATTATCAATATTAAAGTAGAGTAAATGTGACCCTTCTATCACTTTCTGAAATCTGGACAAAGTAGGCCAGGCGTCAGTGGGGAAGGAGGGCAGCCATTGTTATACGAGACCAGAGGCTCACACGGGAGCAAATTCGGCTCCTGTTAATTTTACTTGGACGTAGTGTTATGGATACCAAAGGTGTACCATCTGTCAACACGCTGTCAACAAATCAAGTTAAGTGTTCTTTCCGAAACCCATTATCTATCATTAGTGGCCATTAATGTCATTATATAGGGTGACCCGGTTAGAACGCGAAATCGCCTCATACTAAAGGTAATTAAGCCAGGTCTTCATGTTCCATGTACTGTTTTCTCTGATATACTTGTCATATATAGGATTCTGGCTTCACAGCTAGCGCACTTTTGACAGGTCAAGACGAGGATGCAAGATTTGTGCACCAGTTACTGGGTGATATGGAAGCTACCTCAAAGAGGATAATTTGGTGTCTACACCCTAGTTATACCTGGTGGACTAACCTGCTGTACTATAAGATAAGGAACCTCTTTAATGTATGTAGTTATTTCTGTAGTTTGATTGGCTGCATATATATAAACTAATAAACCCCCCCTAATGTGTAGAGGATCGATTTGTGAGATTATGAGATTATTGCAGAAATACAGTCCACTTATCATTATACAAATTGCTATCGAAGTATATAAATTAACGTAAATATAAATTCATATAAATTAAATAAATATAAATCTCACAGGTCGGTTCCCACATTATTTGGTCATCTTCGAACCGGATGACGGATTATTTGATCCTTTGAACCCACATTTGGTCATCTTAGTACCGGATGAACCAGTTATCCAGTGGATTCATTAAATATACTAGTGCAGTGTTATTTAAACAAAGCCAGCCAGTCATAGACAGCGGCGTTGCCTCGTGGGAGCTCAGGAGCCTCCCTCAGCCCAGTTCAGCTTCGTCAGCGGTTTCATGCACACCCACAGATATTTGGTGGCGTGTTATTTCGTGAAATGACAGCGCTAATATAGAAGCCAGCCTAATTAGTGACTGTGTCTTCGCGAGATTGTTCACGGATTTCGTGGTGTTACATTTCGCGAGAGATTATCTACGAATTTTGTGGACTTTATTTCGCGAGGTCACTAATAACATTTAATACTTCTAGATAATATTAGAAGTTTCATAGAGGCTAATTAAGAGGCTATTATCAATAATTGTGTATATTATTTCTCCAAAATAGAGAATTATTTAATATATATTGCACTAGTGATCACAGTATAATATTTACTAATTGCCAACCCACAACAGGGTAGGATATGACTAGTTGAACTATTATTGTTCATCCTAGTCCCATTATTACAATAGTCAGTTGTACTATATTGAACAACCTAACACCATTAATGAATGGTCCAGACCCTATTTTGGGTGTAATTTTTATCAACTCGAGTTGAGTTGTATATATAATAAATTACTTATGATCATTACACCTTTGAGTGATTAATTAGTGTCTCTACCATCCTAGGGTGATATAGAAGAGCTAACCTAAAGGTACTTCCAGTGACACTGGTTTATCACTCAAATCATTAGTGTGTATGATTGTATATATATAATGTGTATTAATTTTAAGTGCTAACCTCTAGTAGAGGTAGGATTATTGCCTAGTGAGTGCAGAATTTACCCTAGGCTACCATTAGTGCTTGTTCAGTATTATGAGCAGCCCAAGTACAAGCCCCACAAGGCTTCACCAACGAGCCAGTATGGATAATGCAGGGAGAATGAAAAGAACCCTTGCAGGTCTTAAAGGCCACTTAACAAGACAGATCAAGAAATGTGAAGATTTGTCACAACAATCAACAGTTGATTATGCTGACCTGGAAAGCTATTATCAAGCAGCTGCAGGTAAATTTGAGCAAATCAAATGCCAAATGGCTGTCCTTGTGGGGACAGACTACTACCATCAATTCATCGGTAGCCCTACTAAATATCAGGGTATAACCATGTTAAACTCTGCAGGAGGTAAATTACTCTCAGGCCCAGTATCAAGCCTGAGGAGACCTATGCCTGCAGATAAACAATACCAATAGAAATCTAAATTTGTCAGCTGATTATATTTCTCCAGTAGCATTATACTAAGGAGATTACAGCTGACTATAGTAACAGAGGTTGATGTTAGTATCATCATTTGAAGCTGAAGATGAGTTCATGAGGCCTCAGTGGCAAATCAGTGAACAGTAGCCTAAAACAGCTACAAGTCACTGCGACCAATGTCACTGAACCCACTGCAGTCTCAGAACCATACTTTACTTTAATGATGAGCTATTCAATCTTCTGAATCAATTAACTAAATTAAACCCCAATAAATCTGATGACTGATTTGATACATTTATTATTTAATCAAGATGTATTCCATGGGCCTCAGTGTTTATATATCAGTGACCAGTTACCTGAAGAAACTTCAAGTTATATCTAATGTCACTGATCTCACTGCAGTCCCTGAATCATACTTGACTGTAGTACTTGATCACATCCAGTCTTCTGGGTTAAATAATATGTAATAAGGCTTGAATATTAGCCTTTCAAGAGTTGACAGGGAAATGAAATCGCATTAGACTTCTAACCCCTACAACTCTAGTACGGGACATCCGTCCTGTACGAACAGACACACAAATGTGTGATTACTAACTACTAACATCAAATTAATCTAATAATTCGAAGGAGGAGTATCGGTGTTCGTCTGTTCTAAACAGGACTTCGACCCGTGAGCAGCCCCCTGGGGAATTATGTCGGAAAATCCGACACCATTTAATATATCATACAGATAATAGCTGTATTACCAACAAGTTACCCATAGAAAACGTAACTTGTAGTGGAATTACCGTCTAAAGAAAACGGGATATCATCACCACATACTATTATAATTCACCAGCTATTCTGCTGGGAATTGTTCTTAAATACATTAGTCTTTGGACTTTACCATCATAAAAACATCTTATATAAATTAACTTAATTATCAATATTAAAGTAGAGTAAATGTGACCCTTCTATCACTTTCTGAAATCTGGACAAAGTAGGCCAGGCGTCAGTGGGGAAGGAGGGCAGCCATTGTTATACGAGACCAGAGGCTCACACGGGAGCAAATTCGGCTCCTGTTAATTTTACTTGGACGTAGTGTTATGGATACCAAAGGTGTACCATCTGTCAACACGCTGTCAACAAATCAAGTTAAGTGTTCTTTCCGAAACCCATTATCTATCATTAGTGGCCATTAATGTCATTATATAGGGTGACCCGGTTAGAACGCGAAATCGCCTCATACTAAAGGTAATTAAGCCAGGTCTTCATGTTCCATGTACTGTTTTCTCTGATATACTTGTCATATATAGGATTCTGGCTTCACAGCTAGCGCACTTTTGACAGGTCAAGACGAGGATGCAAGATTTGTGCACCAGTTACTGGGTGATATGGAAGCTACCTCAAAGAGGATAATTTGGTGTCTACACCCTAGTTATACCTGGTGGACTAACCTGCTGTACTATAAGATAAGGAACCTCTTTAATGTATGTAGTTATTTCTGTAGTTTGATTGGCTGCATATATATAAACTAATAAACCCCCCCTAATGTGTAGAGGATCGATTTGTGAGATTATGAGATTATTGCAGAAATACAGTCCACTTATCATTATACAAATTGCTATCGAAGTATATAAATTAACGTAAATATAAATTCATATAAATTAAATAAATATAAATCTCACAGGTCGGTTCCCACACGGTCGTGTCAGGTGGTCCACGGGTCGTGTCAGGTGGTCCACGTGTCGTGTCAGGTGGTCCAGGGGTCGTGTCAGGTGGTCCAGGGGTCGTGTCAGGTGGTCCACGGGTCGTGTCAGGTGGTCCAGGGGTCGTGTCAGGTGGTCCAGGGGTCGTGTCAGGTGGTCCACGGGTCGTGTCAGGTGGTCCAGGGGTCGTGTCTGGTGGTCCACGGGTCGTGGAGGGGCGGCAGGAACCACCAGGCCGCCACCATGGAACGACAATATCGGAAAATGATACGAACATTCCCGCCCCGCCAGTCATCGTTTCGGAACCAGTCCAGCACGACACAGTCCAGCACGACCCAGTCCAGCACGACACAGTCCAGCACGACCCAGTCCAGCACGACACAGTCCAACACGACACAGTCCAGCACGACACAGTCTAGCACGACACAGTCCAGCACGACACAGTCTAGCACGACCCAGTCCAGCACGACACAGTCCAGCACGACCCAGTCCAACACGACACAGTCCAGCACGACACAGTCCAGCACGACACAGTCCAACACGACACAGTCCAGCACGACACAGTCCAGCACGACACAGTCCAACACGACACAGTCCAGCACGGCACAGTCCAGCACGACACAGTCCAGCACGCCACAGTCCAACACGACACAGTCCAGCACGACCCAGTCCAGCACGACCCAGTCCAGCACGACCCAGTCCAGCACGACCCAGTCCAGCACGACACAGTCCAACACGACACAGTCCAGCACGACCCAGTCCAGCACGACACAGTCCAGCACGACCCAGTCCAACACGACACAGTCTAGCACGACCCAGTCCAGCACGACCCAGTCCAGCACGACCCAGTCCAGCACGACACAGTCCAGCACGACCCAGTCCAGCACGACACAGTCCAGCACGACCCAGTCCAGCACGACCCAGTCCAGCACGACCCAGTCCAGCACGACCCAGTCCAGCACGACACAGTCCAGCACGACCCAGTCCAGCACGACACAGTCTAGCACGACCCAGTCCAGCACGACCCAGTCCAGCACGACACAGTCCAGCACGACCCAGTCCAGCACGACCCAGTCCAGCACGACCCAGTCCAGCACGACCCAGTCCAGCACGACACAGTCCAACACGACACAGTCCAGCACGACCCAGTCCAGCACGACACAGTCCAGCACGACCCAGTCCAACACGACACAGTCTAGCACGACCCAGTCCAGCACGACCCAGTCCAGCACGACACAGTCCAGCACGACCCAGTCCAGCACGACACAGTCCAGCACGACCCAGTCCAGCACGACCCAGTCCAGCACGACCCAGTCCAGCACGACACAGTCCAGCACGACCCAGTCCAGCACGACACAGTCTAGCACGACCCAGTCCAGCACGACCCAGTCCAACACGACACAGTCCAGCACGACACAGTCCAGCACGACACAGTCTAGCACGACCCAGTCCAGCACGACCCAGTCCAGCACGACACAGTCCAACACGACACAGTCCAACACGACCCAGTCCAGCACGACCCAGTCCAGCACGACCCAGTCCAGCACGACACAGTCTAGCACGACCCAGTCCAGCACGACCCAGTCCAGCACGACACAGTCCAGCACGACCCAGTCCAGCACGACCCAGTCCAGCACGACCCAGTCCAGCACGACACAGTCCAGCACGACACAGTCCAGCACGACCCAGTCCAGCACGACCCAGTCCAGCACGACACAGTCCAGCACGACCCAGTCCAGCACGACACAGTCCAGCACGACCCAGTCCAGCACGACACAGTTCAGCACGACACAGTCCAACACGACACAGTCCAGCACGACACAGTCCAGCACGACACAGTCCAGCACGACCCAGTCCAGCACGATACAGTCCAGCACGACCCAGTCCAGCACGACACAGTCCAGCACGACCCAGTCCAGCACGACCCAGTCCAACACGACACAGTCCAGCACGACACAGTCCAGCACGACACAGTCCAGCACGCCACAGTCCAGCACGACCCAGTCCAGCACGACACAGTCCAGCACGACACAGTCCAGCACGACACAGTCCAGCACGACACAGTTCAGCACGACACAGTCCAGCACGACACAGTCCAACACGACACAGTCCAGCACGACACAGTCCAACACGACACAGTCCAGCACGACACAGTCCAGCACGACACAGTCCAACACGACACAGTCCAACACGACACAGTCCAGCACGACACAGTCCAGCACGACACAGTCCAGCACGACACAGTCCAGCACGACCCAGTCCAGCACGACACAGTCCAACACGACACAGTCCAGCACGACCCAGTCCAACACGACACAGTCCAGCACGACACAGTCCAACACGACACAGTCCAGCACGACACAGTCCAACACGACACAGTCCAACACGACACAGTCCAGCACGACACAGTCCAGCACGACACAGTCCAACACGACACAGTCCAACACGACACAGTCCAACACGACACAGTCCAACACGACACAGTCCAACACGACACAGTCCAGCACGACACAGTCCAGCACGACACAGTCCAGCACGACACAGTCCAACACGACACAGTCCAACACGACACAGTCCAGCACAACACAGTAGAGCATGACACAGTCCAACACGACACAGTCCAACACGACACAGTCCAACACGACACAGTCCAACACGACACAGTCCAGCACAACACAGTCCAGCACGACACAGTCCAACACGACACAGTCCAACACGACACAGTCCAGCACGACACAGTCCAACACGACACAGTCCAACACGACACAGTCCAACACGACACAGTCCAGCACAACACAGTCCAGCACGACACAGTCCAGCACGACACAGTCCAGAACGACCCAGTCCAACACGACACAGTCCAACACGACACAGTCCAACACGACACAGTCCAAAACGACACAGTCCAGCACGACACAGTCCAACACGACACAGTCCAGCACGACACAGTCCAGCACGACCCAGTCCAGCACGACACAGTCCAGCACGACACAGTCCAGCACGACACAGTCCAACACGACACAGTCCAGCACGACACAGTCCAACACGACACAGTCCAGCACGACACAGTCCAGCACGACACAGTCCAACACGACACAGTCCAGCACGACCCAGTCCAGCACGACACAGTCCAGCACGACCCAGTCCAGCACGACACAGTCCAGCACGACCCAGTCCAGCACGACACAGTCCAGCACGACACAGTCCAGCACGACCCAGTCCAGCACGACCCAGTCCAGCACGACACAGTCCAACACGACACAGTCCAGCACGACACAGTCCAGCACGACACAGTCCAGCACGACACAGTCCAGCACGACACAGTCCAGCACGACCCAGTCCAGACGACCCAGTCCAGCACGACACAGTCCAACACGACACAGTCCAGCACGACCCAGTCCAGCACGACACAGTCCAACACGACACAGTCCAGCACGACCCAGTCCAGCTCGACACAGTCCAACACGACACAGTCCAACACGACACAGTCCAACATGACACAGTCCAGCACGACACAGTCCAACACGACACAGTCCAGCACGACCCTGGACCTCGCCCAAGATAACAGTCAATGTTGCCAACTCCGTCACAGACAAAATATCATGACACTGTCATCCTTCACCAGCAGACGTCATCACACAGAATACGGGCTCGCCATAGCCCGTGCTACTTGGAATTGATTGTTCCAAGCAGCGAATCTTTAACAACAACAACAACATCACACAGAAATTTTTCTTTCTCTCACCAGACGAGCGTCCGGCTGCCCAGGACCCGCCCAGGTCACCCGAGGTCACTAGAGGTCACCAGAGTTCACTAGAGGTCACCCCTTCCCCCCATCTCACTAACCACGGTAAGTGCTAACCAGGATTCACCAAGAATTTGCCCAACACTGACGAAACCTGTACATCTTCCTATAATCATGGCGGTGTCATGTCTATCTATTAAACAGTTGACGCGGGTCGAGACATAACCCCAAGGAGGTTATGGCTGGTGTATACAACCTCGCAGTGATGCAGTGGTCTCGAACTGTTGAAGACATGTAAACAAAGCGGCCAAGAGTGAGGAAAGATGTACGGGTTTTGTAAATAGATGAGTAAATGTATGACGATTCGTGGCCCTGGCCTTGCTGAGGCCTGGGCCTAAATATTATATATATATATATATATATATATATATATATATATATATATATATATATATATATATATATATATATATATATATATATATATATATATATGTATATATATATATATATATATATTATTAAATATGACCGAAAAAGTAAGAGTAATAATTCTAACACGAATTTTCTCAATCTGTTTTTCAATTTTCTCAATCAATCAAGACTAGAAATAAAAATGAATTTTGGAGAATTGATTTTGAATTACCTCCAACAGTGAAAAGAAATGTACGAAAGATTGAGAAAATTCGTGTTAGAATTATTAATCTTACTTTTTCGGTCATATTTAATAATATATGTCTACAGGAAAGACTGCTACCAAAATATACTAATATATATATATATATATATATATATATATATATATATATATATATATATATATATATATATATATATATATATATAACAAGACGTGTCATTCGTGAGCTTCACTGATTACCGTAAACAATTACGAAACGTCGGAGCTGAGGTCAAACCTAACCTGCATGCGGGCCTGTACGTTCCCGACTCATACTCGAGACCCGGGTTCGATCCCTGGGCGGGACACAAACATTTGGTGAGGCGTTTCATTTCGTCTGATGCCGCTGTTCACCTAGCAGTAAATAGGTACCAGGGAGCATCCTGTGTGTGTGTGTGTGTGTGTGTGTACTCACCTAGTCTTCTAGTATTCACCTAGATGTACTTGTGGGGGTTGAGCTCTGCTCTTTCGGCCCGTCTTTCAATTGTCAATCAACTGTTACTATCTACTAACTAAATTCCTCCCCCCCCCCACACACACACCCAGGAAGCAGCCCTAAACTGTCCATTTTTGCTTTTCGCCGGCGTCGGGAATCGAATCCGGGGCACAGGATTACGTGTCCAGCGTGCTGTCCACACAGTCACCGGTGTGTGTGTGTGTGTGTGTGTGCGCGCACGTGAGTGTGCGTGCATGAGTGTGTGCGCGTGTGTGCATGTGTGCGGGAGTGCGTGCGTGTGCGGCAGTATTCGTTGTTCATGTCTCATCACACTCGTGGGGTCGTTATTATTTACTCCCGATTTCTCTATGTATTAGAATTTCAGCTCTTGCTTCCCTTCCCAGTGTAGCAGCTACTTTCTCCATTAATTAACTTTAGGCAATTGATTGCATTTGTCGTACACCTCCCCTAGGCCTTTCCATGTGTGGCGGGGGAGTGTCATTCCCCGCTACCTCTACCTTAATGTCTCCCGCTGCTGCTACTCCTTGCATGTACTCTTGTTGCTCAGGTTCCCCCTCATAATTGTACTTCTTGAAGGCCCTAGCGTAGCTGGAGCAGCCATACCACCTCATCCCCTCCTCACCTGATCCGTCCTTAGATCCGTCCTGATATCTTATTAGATATCTTCATAAGAACATTGCCGTTCCTATAACACTTGACAGTTTTGTTTCAGTTATCGCAATAATGTGTCGGTGTTCTTCTGCTGTTCTTTCCAGTAGCTCTACCCTTATAATTGTAATTTCATCTGAATTTGTTTAAATTATTTTTATGCTGCTTATCACATCAAGGCGGCTTTTGTCCCACCCCCCCCCCACCCAGGGGGGAAAGTTGTTTGTGTAGCTTCATATCCGTGTCTGATGGGGGTAAAGGGGGGGGGGGTGTATAATGATCTATAGTCACTTGTGCCTTGTTGTCTTGTTCCCTGTCCACGGAGGACAGAAGATAATGTATATATGCTGGTTAGCATTTTAATGTGTGGCCACGTCTGTGGTAGACAATAAACAAAAACTTGTGCCTTCCTGTTTGTATGGGAGCCGCCATTAAGCTGGCCAGCTTCACTATCTCACTCTGTACTACTTTCTGTTGTTAGATTTACTTCTTTGCTGTTCTGAAGTTCCGGGTTCGATCCCCGGTGGAGGCGGAAACAAATAAGCAAAGTTTCTTTCATCCTGAGGTGTTTCTGTTCACCTAGCAGTAAATAGGTACCTGGGAGGTAGACAGCTGCTACGGGCTGCTTCCTGGGAATGTGAAACAAAAAAAAAGGCCTGGGCGAGGACCGGGCCGCGGGGATGCTAAGCCCTGAAATCATCTCAAGATAACCTCTCAAGATATTCTTGTGCACGGTTTGTGCCATTGGCTGGACTCTTTGCATTTCTTATTTGCTTGTCTCCCTGACATTACTCGCCACACTATAACCTCCTAAGACAAATACTGTCAAATAAATACTGCATGGTACTTCCGTTCATTCCCCAAACATCTCTTTTTCTGACAGTATATATTTAATCGGATTGCAGTGTGTAAAAATAATGTTCACTGGTCGATTTCTTCCATTCTAAAACCTACCTAGCCTGTTTCATTCTCATTGGTGCATTTACGATCTGACTTTTGGGTAGAATTTGTGTGATCTAATTTTGGTCTCTCTTCTTATTTACCATGTGTCTCCCGCTGGACGATTGTTGAACACCGCAGATCTGTCATTCTCCTGCTTCTGCCGTGTGCTAATCACGAGGTGTGGAGTTTTCACAGCCTCTAAGACTGACCTTAGAGCAGCCTAGCAGCCTTGATTATCTTGTTTCACTCGGAACCTTTTGCTACACCAACAAAAGTTTTAACTGGCCGAATTCTTCCTCCACAAATCTCTGTTAAATTCTCTCCTCTGTCTCTCCACTTCCTTTGTTGTCTTCTCTTCCTCTCCCACCGCCTTTATTCTCTTCTATATCCCTTTCACATTTACCTTGTTATTTTTCCTCAGGTCTATTGTACTTGTTTCAAGGCTGCTAGACGGAGGTTGTCAGTCCTGGTAAGTTTTAACTTCAGGATTTCAATGACCTCATTTCACCCCCAACCTTGCCTGTGTTTGCTGAAATTACCTAATAAGAGAAGGTTCGTCTTCATGCTGTGCTCTTTCTGCTTCCTCTCTTTTGTCTCCTCATTCACATTTGGATGGAAGTTTTACCTTAATGCTCACAAGTTCATCCATACTTTCTGCACCATTCATATACTCCATTAATAACATTAACATTTACCAAATAGTTTAGTTTATTTCTTTTGAACGTTCCGTTTCCTGAGTGAGTATTTCTCTCCCTCTGTCAACGACTTCTCCAGCCTTCCAGATTCACATTCCAGGTAAGATTCCCGCCGTCTTATCTTTCTCCGCTGTTCCTACACACACTTACAACCCAACAAGTACATCTGGCTTAATATGGCTTGCAGTAAGATCACAAGACGACTCGCTCCTCCACCACCACACACACACACAGGTGCTGGTGGTGTAGCGTCCCTTGTGAAGAGTCTGGATTTCCTGCTCTACGCTTGAAACATCGACGGTGGCGGCAGGGATGAGGGCTGGTGGTGGCCACAATGGGGTGGAGAGGTTGGACATTTGGGATTGGGGCGGGATTGGGTGCTAGGATGAATCCACACTGGCGGATCGCACCTGACTTGTGGGTCAGGCAGTACCACACACCTCTTCACAACTTCATTTCATGTGATTTACCTCTCCTGTTATTTTATATCCATTTACTATCAACGTCTCACCTATTTCATTCAATAATCATCATGCAGGCACCTAATATTTCTCTTCTTGTTTCTCGTACCAAATCTCATTAAATCATTTCAATGTGAAGTGTCCTGTGCCACTTCCCTAGAGTCTTCAAGGGACGACTCAAGATTACATATGCAAATGCAGATGGAGTCACAAATAAACCAGAGGAGATAAAAGAAAGAACAAGTGAAAAAGAATCTGATATGATTGCAATAGTGGAAACATAAATCACTGATATGATATCAGCTGCAATATATCAGGAGCAATGTGTGCTGCCAACCCACAGTGGACAGGCCACTCAACTCTCAAGCCCACTCTCTCCACATCCTTCGTCGTCCCAACATCTTTTCCACATCCAAATCCTCTTACAAGAATTTCACCGTTCCATCCTTCGTCGTCCCAACATCCTTTCCACATCCTTTGGACGTCCAAACGCAAACTTGGTGTGTTTAAACGGCACATCACCTAGAGTGTGTACAATGAGGCAAGTCTCCTAGAGTGTGTACAGTGAGGCAAGTCTCCTAGAGTGTGTACAATGAGGCAAGTCTCCTAGAGTGTGTACAATGAGGCAGGTCTCCTAGAGTGTGTACTAAGAGGCAGGCCACCCTAGAGTGTGTACTAAGAGGCAGGCCACCCTAGAGTGTGTACTAAGAGGCAGGCCACCTAGAGTGTGTACGGCAGGCCACCCTAGAGTGTGTACTAAGAGGCAGGCCACCCTAGAGTGTGTACTAAGAGCAGCCCCCCTAGAGTGTGTACTAAGAGGCAGGCCACCTAGAGTGTTACTAAGAGGCAGGCCACCCTAGAGTGTGTACCA